GAGCCTACGTCAGTATCATATAGCTCAAAAGGCTAAGAAAAACATACAGACCTACTTGGATAAGTTCGTAAGCTATAAAGGTGGCAGAAGTGAACCGTGGATTCATCATTCTAGGGTTAAACCAGTGGCAGATTCTTGGCAGGCTATTCCAGATTCTGAAAATCCTTGCAAGATCCGGTTAAAGCGGGTAGCTCAGTCGGAGTGAGAAATAATACGAGGAGATATTGGTACATCTTAGTTGAAAGTAACAACAGATATCAGCAAGTAGGTGTTTTGACGGCCATAATAAAGCCTGACCACCTACCTATGTGTCATAGCCAGAGTGTCTCGAAGGGACCTCTGTGAAGAAAAGTGAGGATCAGAAGAATGACAATCCTTGCAGCCCTCACAATCGGGAAGCTGAGGTGCCATCGCACGGTCGAAGAGTAGAAATGAGGACTTCTGAAATAATATGTTATATTATATGTTTAGACATTTTTGTGATTTTTCAGGAAGGTAAAGGTGAGGACATACAGAGTTGTGTTAGCTGCATTAAGACTACAAAAACAGGTAACCAAATATCCCAAACTCTCATTTGGCACTCACAGTATGAGTGTAGGGGATCTGTATCTAAGTGTTGATATTTAGATATAGATTACAGTGTGTGCAAACCAATATCAGGAGAGCCTAAATGTTTTGATCCCCAATTCCATCCCCGTACAATTTGGTTGGTAATTCGGAACAGTAACTCCCAGGGGACCTTGATAAATAGGACTGTGATAAATACCATACATTCTAAGGGCATTCTACTATTTGATGCATTTAAGATGATCTCTGGTAGTGGAAAACCTTGGAATGTATGTGGTAATCTTAAATGGGAACGAACTTATGAGTTTAATGATAAATATTTATGTCCCAGTAAGAGATCTACTGATCCTGATTGCCCAAATAGGGATTTTAATTTTTGTCCATATTGGTCTTGTGTAGGGTGGGCGGCCTGGGGAAAAACAGTGGATCAAGATATGATTATCCAAAGGTTGCCCACTACACCACACTTTAAGTCTACGGAATGTAATCCTGTCCATATGACCATCTCTAATCCACAACATTTTATTGATAAGTTTGGAAATCTATTTGGGTTCCAAATATATGGCACAGGAGTAGATCCAAGGACCATAATATATGTAGGACTTGAAACTGAGACGATAGCAACTCAAACTCATCAGGTTTTTCATTCCTTTTATGAGGAGATGAGTGTTGAGGATAAAATTCCCCATAATGTTAAGAATCTATTTATTGATTTGGCTGAGAGTATTGCGGGTAGTCTTAATGTAACTAATTGCTTTGTATGTGGAGGTACTAATATAGGAGACCAGTGGCCATGGGAGGCAAAGGAAGTATGGTACCCTGGTTCTGAGACAGATGAACAACAAATACTTTCTCAGTCTGATCATCAAGTAAGTACTAGAGGTAAATCAGAGTGGCGGTTAAAAACCTCCATTATAGGTCATGTATGTTTAGCCAGGAAAAGGCCATTGTATACCACACCTGTTGGCGAGTTAATATGTCTAGGACAGAAAGCCTATAATGCCGATACTAAAGATACTACTTGGTGGTCAGCTTCAAATGTCTCAGAGCCTACTAATCCTTTTTCCAATTACACCCATTTAAAAGAGGTATGGTTTGACTTATCTGCTACATTAAATTGGAAAGCCCCAGCGAATTTATATTGGATCTGTGGTAAGAAAGCATATTCAGAGTTACCACAAGATTGGGAAGGGGCATGTGTATTAGGTATGCTCAAACCATCCTTCTTCTTGTTGCCAATTGAGACAGGAGCACCCTCATGGCACTATAGTGCCAGAAAAACAAATTCAATGTAATATTTGGAATCCGTGTCAACGGAAATACTGATGAGATATCTCTGAGCAAAAAATATCATACAGTGTCTAAAAAGTTTCTTTTTTATTTTTCAATTTTTTTAACATATGACACTATTGTGGCTTTTTCTTTCCACAATTTTAAAGCATGCAGTGTATTACAAAAAAATTTTCCTGGCACTATAGTGATCCTTTAATGGATAATTAATTTAATAGAGAAGAATACACCACAGTGAATCATGTGAAATGGGAAAATAATGCATTCAAGCGGCTTTGCAGGCATAATGATAAACTACTAGGCTGAAGGTCAAGTGCTTTGTAAATGTCTCCAGAATGCTACAGTAAAATTATTTTCCCTAATACATGTTTCACCATTGTGTATTTTTTATATTACATGTTTTTTTATAAAGCTAATGTAAACACTAGGGTTAAGGCTAGAGTTCTTTTACTCTTAGGACAGCATTGGCATAAACATGTACTGGTCATACCAAGATAACTAGGAGTTCCATTTCAGTGCATCCGCTGCTATCAGCTGCTAATGTCTTTAAATATGCAACTCTCCATTTAGTGATATGCACCGAGAGCAGCTGGAGAGAAAGAATCATACTGTCCCTGTCTTCCCAACTCCTCTGCTGGTATATATATATATATATCCTTATTGTGAAAGAGCTAATTGAAAATTGTGAAACTATCCTGGGAAATAGCCTGGGAAATAACCAGCAGATCATATACTCTCTGTCTATCTTCTCTTGGCCTTTGTTACATATTTTGTAGTCCTGTTCTTGAATTTACACATCAAAAGAGCAAAGTTAATGTTTCCCAATGATGCCCAGGCAAATATGAAGACAGAACATGCGTTCATTCAGTCCCCCTGAGTGAATAAGTTTGCATTAAAAGAGGCTAGGGATATATTTGCCCTTGCATTGCTTCCCGGTGCAATGCTAGTTACAACCTGAAAGCAATGGCCTCTGCAAAAAAATTTTTTTTAAAAATGTATGTTTTAAAAGAGTAAATCAGTAATAGGAAATGGATGTTCCTGTATTACGTTAGCATTCAATCCAGTTAAAAAGAATCTAGGGAAAAATCAATTTTCCATTTTTGTATACATGCTGGGAAATAATTAGCCAAATAATTACCCAAAATTAGATGAAGAAATTAATAAGTGGAAAAATAATTTAATAGAATCCACAAATCCCAAAATATATAATAGTACTCTCAAAGAAATCAAGACCAAAGTAGATAAAATAGAGTTAGATATAATTGAAATAAAAAAGAAAAAGTACCAAAGAGACATAACAGACTACCAGACAGGAAACGTCAGGAACAATAAAAAAGAAAATAGACACAAATATGCCCCTGGGAGAAATAACCAACAAAAATGGAGAACTAATTACCATAATCAATGGTAAAATAGGCCCAAGTTTAATAAACCTGAAAAGAGAGCTAGAAGGGAGAAAGAAAGGGAAAAGCCAAACAGAGATAGATCTGAGGAGAGATCTAGAAGGGAAAGAGAAGGAGAACAGCCAAATAGACCCCCGCAAAGGAGAGGAGAAATTGGAAGTAGATGGGAAATAAATGGGAAACCACATCAGCACCAATTAATAAGAACACCCCATAGAGAACACCATACTTTAAAAAGTTCCATGATGGAGGAAGGGAAAAATCATATAGTGAGGTGGTAAAAGAAGACGCCCTTAATCACCATGAGGAAAATAAAGATAACAATACTAAATATATCACCATGAAAAAATTAGAACCACAGATCTCTACAACAAGAAACAGAAGTGTAAGTAGATCCTTACCCCCAGATACTCCCCCATCACCTTCTTTTTTTTTCGGAGGGACCTGATACAAAACAGAAGGAAGTGGGCACATGACTCACAGTTTTGGGAGACACCAGGAAAGAGACAAAGATCTATGGAAGAAGAAGAAGACAGAGAAGAAGTAGGAAGGAAACACAGAGAGAAGAGGGGCAAAACTTCAATATAGAAGCAATTTTTAACTTAACGAACCAACCCCTAACAGAAGAACAGACAAGTATTTTTAGAAAAGGTCTCAAGTTTGCCCCAACGGCTGATTTGAACCCTTTTAACTTTTTTGTAGACATGAACCATTTTATTAGAAGATTATGTCTAAAAAAAAAATTTTATACCAAAGAAGAACAACGACCAAAAGAAGCAACTGATGAGTACCATCATACAGCGTTAAAAGAAAAATCTGATTTTTAGGTAGGGAAATTAAAAAAGATCAATAAATACCAACATAATTTGTCTGTAAGGGAGAAAAAAACACTTAAAAGTATTAAAGACAATACAGATTTGGCAGTAAAGCCAGCGGACAAAAGAGGAGGTATTGTAATTTTTAATAAAACCCAGTACATAGAGGAAGCGGTAAGAATATTGTCAGACCCTTTAACATACAAAAAGTTAAAGAACAACCCCCTAAAAGAAGTTATAACTATCTTTAAGGAATATATAGATAAAGGGAAAGAATCAGGAATACTAAATGAAAAAGAAGCAGAATACCTCCTGATAACAAATCCAAAGATCCCAGTCTTTTACCACTTACCTAAAATGCACAAAAACATTATGAATCCCCCAGGTAGACCCATTATATTGGCAACAGATTCAATCTCTACAAGGGTATCAGAATATATAGACACTCTCCTCCAACCATTGGTCATTAAGAATCTATCTTATCTCAAAGATACGACGCATGTTCTGCAAATTTTAGAGCAAACAGATTGGCAAGAAGGAAACCTATTGGTGACCTGCGATGTCACCTCCATCTACAGTAGAATTCCGCATGAAAAGGGGATGGCAGCGGTACAGCATTTCTTATCCAAGTCTAATTTTGAAATAGAACAAATAGATTTTATATTGGAAGGTATCCTTCTAATTTTAACTAAAAACTTCTTTTGGTTTGCAGGAGATTTCTATTTACAGGTCTGTGGAATGGCGATGGGCACCAAGTTTGCTCCCAGC